GTGTGTGTGTGTGTGTGTGTGTGTGTGTGTGTGTGTTGTGTGTGTGTGTGTGTAGCAGCTGTTCACATCTATACATAGCAGGGAAACCACCGACATGCTGCGTCCACACTGACGAGTTCAAAGTTTGATTTTTGATCAAATAAAAAACAGGAAGCAACAGAAACAATAGACACATGTTACATAATCATGTGATCACATGTCCACATAATGACAGAGAGGGACAGACAGAAAGAGAGACAGACAGACAGGTGGAGAGAGGGACAGACAGACAGACAGGTGGAGAGAGGGACAGACAGAGAGTATTTATGTTTTCATTATGAACATGTGACAGAGCTGCTGCTGATAAGAACCTAAATCTGGACTCAGCTCTGAGAGAGAGGGGCAAACAGACAGACAGACAGACAGACAGACAGACAGGTGGAGAGAGAGAGAGACAGACAGACAGACAGACAGAACCTTTTTTTTAACTTAAATCTTTTCTTCTTCTGAAATCAGATTTTTGTTTTTATAACATTCTTTTATTTTGAAGTGTGTCCTGTCGCTGGTTGTTGGTACGATGCCTCCGCTCCTCCTCTCTGCCTTTGTTCCTTTCTTCCTCACTCTGCTGCTTCTCTCTCTCTTCATTCTCGTCCCTCGTTCAGGAGGAAAAAGCAGCAGCAACAAGAAGAACGATGGAGTTAAGGTGACATCATCATCATCTCTTCATTTGTTTATTATTCACAAATTCATATGAATCAGCTTATTTCCTCTTTTCCTCTTTTCTTTATCTGTCAGAGTTGATAAAGCTTTCACTCCATCTTCACAGTAAATGAGTGTAAGCAACAGTTTGAGCACGAGCTTTAAAAACTCGACGAACTTCTCATGAAGAAGACAGAGACGAAATCAGCTGATTTCTACAAAACTTTATTTATAACTGAACATGACACAGAAACTGTTGTTGTAGGAATCATCAGAGAGTACGAACACGACTATAGAGGATGAAGACACCAGAGGTACACACACAAACACACTAACACACACAAACACACTAACACTAACACACACTAACACACTAACACACACTAACACTAACACACACTAACACACACTAACACTAACACACTAACACACACTAACACACTAACACACACTAACACACACTAACACTAACACACTAACA